TCACAGTACTCATCTTACCTTTTCTCTGCCATTGTGTCTGTCTGACTATTTTACATTTGTGAATCACTCTGCTGTTCTCAATCTCGACTTTTAGCCACTTTGATGTTCCTCCTCCTCTTTTTGAAGCCCGAAGTCAACTAAAGGGCTAATGACAACTATCAATGACATTTGAAATAAGTAAATAAATACTGCCACGTTGTTCAAAGGGCATCATAAGAAGTCGAATACCATTAGAATCTTTGCCCTCGTCGTTTGGAGTATTAATGTGAAAAGTCCAGTTTTGTCATGCAATTCTACGTGACAAAAGAGCAGTAGAAACCCCCCCCCCCCTCCGCAATGATAAAAGGAAGGCGGTGTTGAAGATAACTCACCTCAAGTGTCGGAGGTCGTTGAACGTAGATTGTCTGTTGTGCAGGACTTGGTGGAAGGAAGGGACAAAACTCAGGGAGATGAGAAGACGACAGTTCAAGCTGGCGAACCTTGAGAGGCTAAAAGAGAACAGGTAGGCTTAGATAATATCCCCACCCCCCACACCCCACCCCCTCAAAACTAAGTTTGAGAAATGATTTTGTAAGACACTACTGGGTGCTTCAAAGTTGATTCTGTGAGTCAATGTTTTAGAAAATTAATAAGATTTCATCAATTCATCAGATCAAATGATCTACGAGAATTTCCAGTACACCAAACTTCTAATTGCTTTAATTCTAGTAAAGACCAATTGAGATTAAAACGCTGGTTATTAGAATACTGCAATAAGCGTTGACATCAAATTCATTGTGAGTCTATTCAAAACAATCTGTAAATAATCTTCTGAAAAGTCTGACAAAAAAGTGAATGACCAAAACTTAGCAGACACCCCGAACGATAGCTTTCTGTGGACAGTAAGAATAGGAAGCTAAAAGCAAACCGGCAAATTCCAGTCACAACTTTTTCCAAATAACTCCTAGACGCAAATCACGGTAATGTGTTAATATATTGCCAACCTTTTCCACTCCAAATCGAAGCAGAAGATTAGTAAGTGGAAGAGCACTTCGATTGGTAACCACTGCAACGAAAACCACCACAGAAGGATGCGGCTTATTGGCCGTGCAGTGGAGCATAACATCTACCGAAGCACCACCCTCTTCACCATCAACCGAACTACCACCTTCTACCGGAAAGACTCGAATTGGCTGATTGTGAGTGGGATGCGGTTGGATTGCAGATGTGTTGATAGCGGGGAGTGATGACAGCGAAGGAAGTTCTATTGAAGCTTCTTGTTGTTGTTGTTGTTGTCGTTCGACTACTTCAGATGGCAGCTGTTTAGCAGGCTCGGGAGTTTTTGATGCCATGGAATTCAAGGAACCGGAAGAAGAATTTGCTTTTGGCGCTCCAAGACTACCACTTTCACTAAAAGTCGAACCAATTAAAAGTAACAACAAATATAATCAATATATATCAAAGGTAGCTCAAATAACTCACACAAGTAATCACCTACAGAGAAATGAATGTGCACAACTTCTCAGGTTAATAGACCCATCTCTGAACACGGCTGACATAAGCTATCCCCCCCCCCCCCCCCCCCCCACCAAACAACAAACTACTGACCCCGAAGAACAAACTTATTAAAAACTCCGGTCGAGAAGTTGACGGTGACACCTCTGTCCTTGGCAAGTTTCCAATCACTGCCCAAATTTTGCTATCATTGATTTCGGAATTCGTTAGCTAGACTTGGTAACAATTTGTGATGAAGGAATTAAACGGCTCAAGGATGAAGATTCAGTCATTCATTAAATAATCTAAACACCTCAAGTAGCAGTTAGCAAATCTATTCATATAATAAGAAAGAGCTTCATCTTAAAGGTTAGACCTTAAAATGCCCATTTCTGAAGGGAACAAGATCAATGACGTACTGTTACTAGTACTTAGATGCCTTTCCAGAAATATAGGAGATAAGAACTTGCTTTGATGTCCAAGAAAAACCACCTTAATGAGAAAATTGACAACAATCAATTCAAGTAGAGGGAAGACATCATAAAAATCAATTTTATTGACTGTCTGATCAATCCCACAACTCGAGATTCATCGAAGGGCACAAGCCTCTTGACATCTGACTTGATAGACGTGCACACTAACCAACGCGCAAGTGAGAGAAGATGTTTCCCTAGCACATGTCGTTGAATGGTAGAAGACATCTGATTACGTAACTCGCATTCTGTCACCAATATCGATTGGTGGGGAGTACTATTCTGATAGGTGTCTACATCGTGACCCACTAAAAGCTTGGAAACCGATATACCACTGGTTTGTAGTTACTTTAATTTTGAACCAAGAGTGAGTAGTTCACTTACGGAGTGGGCATTCCGAACACCACACGACCAACCATATCGAGCTCGCTGAAGATATTTGTAGCAGACTTTTTACTTGGTGGTGCTGAGATTGAACTCCTCGACGAAGCAATGTTGCCTGGTGGTGGTGGTGGTGCGTTGGAATTTAGCGTGGATCTTAGAGCAATGTTTTGGGAGGACTGTGGTGGTTGCGCTGGCGGCAGGAAGTTGAAATGTTCGGATGCTGTTCGGATGAACAAGAATATAAAGAAGTATTGATCTATTACTTCGAACAGGGGTGTGCGATAGACTTACCTCCATGTGATGCACCCTGGGCAACGTATACTCATACGGCAAAAAAGTCTATTAACCGGCAGTTGACTTTTGACTTCAAACTACCATGAACCGTCTGTATGTCATATTCGGCTCCTTCCTTTCTCTGCCTTTGTGGCTGTCTGTCTCTTTTACACCTGTGAATCACTCTTCTGTCCCCCCCTCTTCTCGACTTTCTTTCACTATGATGTTCCTTCCCCTCTGTGAAGCCTGAAGTCAGCTCCAGGGCTAATGATAACTATCAAAACTCCCGCCATTTGATATAAATAAATAAACTTCGAGCATTGCGATTATTAGATGAATTTCGACTCAAGCACACACACACACACACACGAATGAAAGTATTAAGCATGCAAAAATTAAAAAAAGTAATAACAGACCACACGGCCACTAGGCCCTCAAAAAAAGTTGGATGAACGATAACATACTCTGATTTTTGGGAGAGTTGGACAGTAGTCTGTCCAATAAATTCACATTGGACTGTGCTGAGGACTTCGGAGCAGCCGAGAGTGAAGGAGATTGATTTCGAGGAGAAAGTGAATCACCAATGCCCAAATTCAAAAGATCCTGTTGCAGAAGTTCGTGGTTGGTACTCGGGGACATTGTTAGCAGGTCATCGGCTGATGTATTTGAAGTCGGTTGAGAAGCTGGAACATAAAAACAAATAAAATACTCTATTGGTAAAAAAATTACTTAATGCATTCGTGATGGCCTCTTGAATTCCCAATTTAAGTGTCGTTAAGTAGGACTTGTAAAGACTTCCTAATTCTCAAATGGATTAAACTTTCACCTCTTGAACTCAAAATAAATCAGTCATGACTAGTCAACCCAGTTTCAGATGCTACCTCGTGTTGTTTTATAAGCAATGAATCTCTTTCAGCAGTGATTGTTTTCCACTCAGGTATTGCGGTGAAAAAGTGCAAAGAGAAGATATAATTCAACTGCTATTGTTCCTAATAAATATTTGACAGTTCTCTTTCTTTTGTTTAACAAAATGGAATCAATTTATCAAAGGAGAGGATTGAGACTGTTAGGTGAGTAGTCAAGAGACGGGTCTTTCGCCATGAAAATATTCGACTAAAAGTTTAATAAACCCAGCCCTCCAATAAGACCGTCCATTTAATCAAATTACTAATCCTAGGATTTAATTACATAAGTAAACATATAGCTATGTTGCAAAAGGCTTTTGAAAAATAAGCATTATGCGTATCTGAAGAATCATTTGAAAGATACATTAAATCGAACAATTTTTTGTTTAATTTTCTCACGTGGCAGGCGATTTTCGTGCTTGTCTACTAAGAATATGGCGGGATCTTCAACTGTAGAAGGGGGTTTGTGTAGGACTTCAACTTCATACCGTTCAAGAACACTGGATGCACGACTGCATGTTTCGATAACATCAGCTGAAAAAAAGGGGAGAGAACAAGTTGCGAAATGCAAAATTTTCGGCTACTGAAATGGGAATCAGTAGGTAGACTCACTCAAAAATCCCTCCACACGATCATCATCGGTGAGAGCCAATTCGAAGATAGTTGGGCGTGTCCGTTTAATATTCGCCACTATCTCCTTCAAAAAAAAATAATAAANGGTGGGAGATTTTCGAATTCTATATTTCAATCAAAAATTGCGCCCACTTAGTAACACCTTAGAAAAGAAAACGGTAAACCTGTAATAATCCGAACACAGGAATGCAGCAAAATTAAGCAAAACGTCGATTTTCTTCGCGTAATTTCAATAACAATATCTTTGAGCTTGGGGTGTGCGATAGACTTACCTCCACGTGGCGCACTCGGGGCAACGTATACCCATACGGCAAAAAAGTCTATTGATCGACAATTGACTTCTGACTTCAAACTACCATGACCCGGCTGTATGTCATATTCGACCACTTCCACAGTACTCATCTTTCCTTTTCTTTGCCTTTGTGTCTGTCTGTCTCTTTAACATCTGTGAATCACTCTTCTGTTCCACACCCCCTCGATTTTCTGTAACCCTGATGTTCCTCCTACCCCCTGTGAAGCCCGAAGTCAGCTAAAGGGCTAATGATAACTATCAAAACGCCTGCCATTTGAAATAAATAAATATTTTTGAGCATTTTAAAAGTAATTTGAAATTATTAATCATCAACAATAAAATTGATAAATCAGTCTCATAGCTACTTTAATCTTCATTTCATGAATCAATGTGTTACCATTCAATGTTAACACCGCAAAGAAAGGTTTTACTCGCGAATTCCTATAACAAAATTGTATCCACAAAAATAAATGCTAATTTTTCATTTCAATTAATCAATCGAACAGGAATTTGAACAAAGATGTTAACGAAAAAAGAAGGCGAAAATTTACAAATAAATCGCGAAAAAACAAATATGATGCGATAAATTGTGGAAGAAACGCATATCCAGACATTCGATTAGGCGGATCAATAATTCCTCNAGAATTGTTTTAAAGACAAATGTAGAAAAAGATAGGAAAAAGGTGAGGTGAGTACTGTGAAAGNTGCGATAGACTTACCTCCACGTGGCGCACTCGGGGCAACGTATACCCATACGGCAAAAAAGTCTATTGATCGACAATTGACTTCTGACTTCAAACTACCATGACCCGGCTGTATGTCATATTCGACCACTTCCACAGTACTCATCTTTCCTTTTCTTTGCCTTTGTGTCTGTCTGTCTCTTTAACATCTGTGAATCACTCTTCTGTTCCACACCCCCTCGATTTTCTGTAACCCTGATGTTCCTCCTACCCCCTGTGAAGCCCGAAGTCAGCTAAAGGGCTAATGATAACTATCAAAACGCCTGCCATTTGAAATAAATAAATATTTTTGAGCATTTTAAAAGTAATTTGAAATTATTAATCATCAACAATAAAATTGATAAATCAGTCTCATAGCTACTTTAATCTTCATTTCATGAATCAATGTGTTACCATTCAATGTTAACACCGCAAAGAAAGGTTTTACTCGCGAATTCCTATAACAAAATTGTATCCACAAAAATAAATGCTAATTTTTCATTTCAATTAATCAATCGAACAGGAATTTGAACAAAGATGTTAACGAAAAAAGAAGGCGAAAATTTACAAATAAATCGCGAAAAAACAAATATGATGCGATAAATTGTGGAAGAAACGCATATCCAGACATTCGATTAGGCGGATCAATAATTCCTCCAAAAATAAAACAAAAAGCTGAAAAGTTTACATGCCAAACATCAGTCACGATACAATTGAACTACAGACTGAAAACAAGTTATTACATAAATTTTAATTTGTATTTAACTAATAACCATGACATAAGTAGTTTCAATCCATTTTAGTACCACGTAATGACTATTAGATCAACGTGGGTTGGTGAAACCATTTGTTGTTCGCACTTAATAGGACTCAAGAGAAGCCAAATTTATGCACAAATAAACACTATCTGACAAAAGTCCTAATAGATTCTTGAAACAACCACATAATGAAAAGTAAAAATCGAGTGAAACCTTGAGATAGATAAGTTAACATGAAAACTTTCTAATCTGACTTACTTCGTTAACAATGCTCTTGATGATTGCATTAGCTTCCCGAAAGTCCTCTGGATTTTTACTCTTTAGCAGTCTAGCCAATTTCTAAACATCCAATGGATTGAATTTTAAACATAAGAAACTACTTACATCCTTGTAGCGACTATTACCGAAGATGTCAGTTCTGTTAGCCATTCTATCCCTATTCTAAAGAGATTAAGATTTACAAAAGCTAGAATCTTACCCTCTCGGAATCGTCTTGAATGACTGGATCTTCGGTGATGATATTCTGTGCTTTCAGCGCCTGATATGCTTCCTTTAGTTTCGGATATTTATCGCCAAAATCTCGTTGCCAAACAAACATAAGCATAATGCACCTTTCGCGAACACTTTGAGGAGTATTTAAACCAAGGTGCTAAAAGGTATGAGAGGCGTAGAACACTATTAACCTACCTTGGGCAGCAAAACTTTCATCATTTCATTTAAAAATTTGTACTTGCCCAGCTCTCTATGAAAATTAGGACCGCAGTTTTGAACACACAAGTCCAAGATCTGTTTAAAAATAGAAGCTTAAGAACAAACATACCACTAAAGTGCTAAGCGCTTCTTTTTCCACTGGAGATTGTATTTTATGGGCAAGAAGTCGAAGCGCTAATTCTGGACCATGTGGATCAATATTTATTCTATCATATATTTTCTTGAAGGCATTTAAATCCATATGAGTCGTAAGAGGGCTCGTGATCTCCGCTGAAATGAAATTAAGTAGATAAATACTTTCTTAAAGATTTTAAGCTCATACAAAATGACAACAAAGTGCTCTCTCCAAACTATGCACAATTACTTTATTTTTAACTTACTTATCATGTCTTCTAGAGACTGAGTACCATTAACCGAAGCCATGATTTGCAATTATATTTGTTTGTGACAGAGCGTCACAAAAAGCCTTATTACGACAAACTTAACGCCGGAGTCTGTAACCGTTAAAAAAGGAAATAAATTAATGATTTTTGAAATATATGTAATTCATAACAAATTATTTTTACAGAATTTTACATTCCTGTTGCATAACGTTTAAACATTGAAAGTTTAATTTCCGCATTAATTGAAAATTGATTAAATTTAAATTCGATTTGAGTGGCCTTTCCAAAGCCTGCCTTAGCATTATATCATATAAAATTTGCAGCATATTAGTGAAATGTGTACTATATAATTTTGCAGTGATATATGAAAAGGTTTGACTTGTCAGAAAACCTTCATGTTTGTCTATTTCTTTTAAACTAACGACCATAATTTTTACGTCATTAACAATTCCCTTTCAGAATTAAATGTGTACTGTCTCAACTGAAATGTGCACGTTTTGCAAATTCTAGAATTACACCGAAAAGTTATTACCTACACAAACCCATAAAATGCACCTCTTTCAGCTTCAGCACGACCTATTGCCTACAATTGAATAAGCTGTAGTATGTGAAAATGATGGAATTTTATTATTTGTCCATAATATAAAATCGAAATAAGCTTTAAATCGTAAGATCTTCCTGCCTTTTGTTTCCTTTCTTATTTATTTCATCTATACATATTCAATCGAAGGCGAGCAAAGTTGATTCGGAGAGACTGAATTTCTTAGCTATTAAGTTAGCCAATTACACGGTGGCGGTGGAATTACTTCTCAAGTGTCAAGTTCAATGAAAATTACAAGTCTTGAAATTGGTTACTTTTTACGCCCGTGATGAAGTGTATCGCAGTACAATTTCATGAAAACTTTAACTTGCAAAGTCTATTTGGTTTGTGAAGAGATGGAGAGTATTTTGAAGTCTCTCTTTTGAGAAGAGTTCTCCTCTCTCTCTCTTTCTCTGTGCTAGAACTAACCAGTTCGCCTGGCTGTTTACAACATAGACCTTGCACTTTTGAGTACCAACCTCGTGATCTTTATCATGAAAGGCGGCATTTTAAATAATACGGCATTAAGTGTAGAAATCACTTATACCTGATTGTTTATTACAATTAAAATGAAATAGGTTCTTAATAAAATTATTATTACGTCTTGATAGTGCTATTTTTAGCATGCTACAACGATTACTATTTTCGCATTATTCAAACTTTACTCTGAATCCACAGTCTTTGTCCCTTCTCTACAATAGTAGAAGATAACCTCAAGAGTTATTGTAATTTAACTTAGAAGTCATGCACATGGCGCTCTTGATCGTATATCTTGATTATCTCTCCTTTCCTAATTCTTCGAAAGTCAAAGACATAAATTAATGCTTAGGAACTTAATGTAGCCAAATCGCTGGTGGTGAAGATGGAAATGCTATTAGAGATTTCCCTGCACAATGAATGATGCTTCAAAGAGCCAAAACGTTATAATAGCCTTTCCTTAATTAAGGAGGTAAATTATTAAGAAGGGTAAAGGGAGAATTAATTAGGCATTAGGACGTGGAAAGGTAATAAATTTGAAAAGGTTTTAATATAGAAGGGCCCTGTTGAGGTACGACCTTGCGTTTGGTTTTCGTCGATAAGTAACCATTAAAACTCAAAACTAGAGAATTTGGACATGAAGAGGTTACGGAATGAATAACCCTCTTATGGCTGCACAAAAGAAATCTCCTCCTATTAGAGTTGAAATTGGAGCAAATTCTTATCCACCAAATCCGATGCCTATTGACCAGTTATTTACTTAGTTCGATCGGTTTGTCACCTCAGTTAATATTTTCTTTCCAAGGCTGAGAGAGAGTAAAATGATCTAATAAAGCTTGAATGACCTTGTCGGGGATACTAAACAAATATGCACTTTGCAAACTTTGGTTAGAACCTTAAAAGTCTAACTGGCTGTTGGCAAATACAACATCAGAGTAGTCTAGCAAGCAAATTGGCTGCCAAAAAGTTAGCTATCTCCTGTTCAAATCGATGAAAACGCAAAATACCTAGAGTGAGTTGCGCTCATTACACCACTGGCGAATTACAAAGTATGATCATTTGTTAGGCAAATTGACTGTATGTATTTATTTATATCAAATGGCAGGCGCCTTGATGGTTATCATTAGCACTTTAGTTGACTTCAGACTTCACAGAGGAAAAGGAACATTAAATTGAAAAAGTCGAAAGGGGTAGGGGGAACAGAAGAGTGTTTCAAAGATGCGAGAGACAAACACAAAGGTAGAAAAAAGGTAAGAAGAGTACTGTGGAAATAGTCGAATATGGCATAGAGTGAGGTAGTGGTAGTTTGAAGTGAGAAGTCAACTGCCAGTTAATAGACTTTTTTGCCGTACGAGCATACGGTGCCCAGGTTGCACCACGTGGAGGCAAGTCTATCGCACACCCCAGTTGACTGTATGTAAACATTAGTCGATGGTTTCCGTACGCATGATGCAGTTTCTCAGGCCAAGATCGATATCACCATCGCACTTTCCAGAGTATACTAGCACGTGCGTGATTTCTCCAGTCGGCCTTGATATAATTTCGCGTTCCACATTAGTACCAATTCGGAGGCGAGATGCTTAAATCTGATTACCTCAGAAAATTTAAATAGACCGCGTTCTTCTTGAAGCGAACAAAATCGAAGTTAAAGCAGTAATGTTTATCCTTTTCGTTTGAAATAGCTAATAATTGCTAATTAACCGCTTCAACATCTTCAATTATAAGAACGCAGTTCAATCATATTAAATCCAAATACTTTAGTCTCAATCTATTTATTTCAAATGGCAGGCATTTTGATAGTTATCATAAGCCCTTTAGTTGTCTTCGGGCTTCACAGAAGGGAAGAACATTAAAGTGAGAAAAATTTGACAGGAGGAAAAGACAGAAACAAAGGCAAAGAAAAGGTAAGGTGAGTACTGTGAAAGTGGTCGAATATGAAAAAGGTGAGGTGAGTACTGTGGAAGTAGTCGAATATGGAGACACAAAGGTAGAGTGAAAAAGATGAGGTGAGTACTGTGGAAGTAGTCGAATATGGACCAGTGCAGTGGGGTGATGATAGTTTGAAGTCAGAAGTCAACTGAGTGGGGTTATGGAAGTTTGAAGTCAGAGGTCAACTGCCAGTTAATAGGCATTTTTGTCATATGAGTATACGTTGCCCAGGGTGCACCACATGGAGGTAATAGTCTCAATCTAATTCAAAAGGTTTGGCTATTCATTTAAAATATTAATCCACTTCAATTATAGCACCTTCTAATTCTAATTCTCTAATTAGCCATAATGATATATTTTGAATATGATCCAACCGGCTAGAAGGTGATTGTCATTAAAGGAATATAATTCTTGACACAAAAGCAATGCTTTCATTGATTAATGTGGGAGTTAGCAAATTTAAAATTCAAATGTGTAAATATGATGATTCAGAGTTTCATCCTCCTTTAATGCATGAATGTCAGTTATTTCATGTAGGAAAATTTACGTCTACTGAAATTAGATAAGGTAGTGTGTGGCGGGTCAATCTTTTAAATTGACATACTCTCCGTTTGTCATAAGCAGGAGATGTCAATCACGATCGAATGATAGGAAATGATTGACTGGTAATAAGATCTCGCCACAGTAGCAACAGTCGGTTAAGATGTGGTTGAATGTGGATACCTAAACAGACGCCAATCATTGGCAGCCAGGCAGGACAGTTATCTAATGAAGAAATACTTTATATAATAACTTAATTAAGATAGCAATAAATTGGGGAGTGGATTGCACGGTTAGAGAATCTTTTTTCCCCTATTAATTACTCAGTCATACTTAAAGATTTCATTAATGATGCGATCTGGCCAAAGTGAACGATCAATGTCTACCATTCGGGTAAATCGATGCGACCTGTAGATTGCAGAATTCAATTCGAAGATATCCGCACACACGCGACTCCAATCGGTGTCTTATTATCTTAAAAATAAACATTTACACTCTGTGAGTGTTGAGTTTGAATAAAGCTGTGCATCAGTCGAACTCGATGTGGACTATTAAGAGCAAAGACAATTGACGTGAAAGTTTAAACAATTTCGACGTAGTTAAAGATCGAAATCACCCAAGTCTCGGAGTTGAAACGGTGCCATCATTCCTTACGTTAGAGTGAAAGAACTGTTTTTATGGTTCAGAAAGTTTAGAGCTTTTTGTATAAAATAAATTTTCAACAAAGTGAGTGTGTAGCGGATTGCTACCTTAGTAAAGCCTGACTAACTCAGAAATCTCTGTGGCAGATTCTCCAACATCTAGCTAATCTCCCAGAACCAGCTAAGCTATAGCCCAGCTATAAAGGAAACAGACACGTAGCACGGAACACGTTAATTCAGGACGTATATTGCGGATCAAGTGTGTACATGCAGGGAGCTACTCATGATCAGGATGGGGGATTAGGTTAAACAGAGGTTAATGATTGGTCACTGTTTGTACGGTCACTGCACACAGAGTTGTACGGCCGCACCTCCCAATCCTGGCGAGCAGACATGCAGGCATACGATGACTTATTCAATTTAGTGATATCATTAATTCTAAAAAATAGTATCCCTTTAATTAACACTTATTCATTTAAAGAAATAGAACTCAGAATGTCACATACCCCAGTATCTGCATGGTATTTTAGCCGAATAGTAAACAGATATTTCTCGAACACGGGGTGTGCGATGGACTTACCTCCACGTGGTGCACCCT